TATATATATATATATATATATATATATATATGTATATATATATATATGTGTATATATATACATGAAACCGCATCACATTGATAATATAATTATTTAATTACAATTATAAAATGTACATATCGTAAATAATTTACCATTATTACCTCGGGTGAAGAGAGGGGCGGAGCTGTCCACTGATCACTACCTGGTGGTGAGTTGGCTCCGATGGTGGGGGAGGATGCCGGTCAGACCTGGCAGACCCAAACGTATTGTGAGGGTTTGCTGGAAACGTCTGGCAGAGTCTCCTGTGAGACGGAGTTTTAACTCCCACCTCCGGGAGAACTTGGAACATGTTCCGAGGGAGGTGGGGGACATTGACTCTGAGTGGACCATGTTTCGTGCCTCTATTTTCGAAGCGGCTTACTGGAGCTGCGGCCGCAAGGTTGTCGGTGCCTGTCGCAGCAGCAACCCTCGAACCCGATGGTGGACACCGTCGGTGAGGGATGCTGTCAGGCTGAAGAAGGAATCCTATCGGGTCTTTTTGGCCCGTGGGACCCCGGAAGCAGCTGATGGGTACTGGCAGTCCAAGCAACATGCGGCTCGGGTGGTCGCTGAGGCAAAAACTCGGGCATGGGAGGAGTTCGGAGAGGCCATGGAGAATGACTTCCGCACAGCTTCGAGGCGATTCTAGTCCACCATCCGGCATCTCAGGGGGGGAAAGCGGTACGCCACCAACACTGTTTATAGTGGGAGTGGTTTGCTGCTGACCTCAACTCGGGATGTTGTGGGTCGGTGGGCGGAATACTTTGAAGACCTCCTCAATCCCACCGGCACGTCTTCCACTGAGGAAGCGGAGCCTGGGGACTCTGGGTCAGGCCCTCCAATCTCTGGTGCTGAGGTCACCGAGGTGGTTAAAAAGTTCCTCGGTGGCAGGGCCCCAGGGGTGGATGAGATTCGCCCAGAGTTCCTTAAGGCTCTGGATGTTGTAGGGTTGTGTTGGCTTACGCAACTCTGCAATATTGCGTGGACATCAGGGGAAGTTCCCCTGGATTGGCAGACTGGGGTGGTGGTCCCCCTATTCAAAAAGGGAGTGTGTTCCAACTACAGGGGAATCACGCTCTTAAGCCTCCCTGGTAAGGTCTACTCGGGGGTTCTGGAGAGGAGGGTCCGTCGGATAGTCGAACCTCGGAT